ATGGTTTGGGACGTGGGGGGTACCACCAAGCACACAGTACTTTCTCTGAGGAGGACATGCCCCTGGAAGTCCGAGAGTCACAGCACGGAGAACAGCTCCAGGAGGGCAAAGCCAAGCCTGAGGAGACAGAGCCGCGAGGTGGAGAGCAGGTCCTGGGAGCTAGCCCTGAGCCCAGGCCCCAGCCTGCCTGTAGCATAGACCTCCCTGGTGACATCCAGCCATGCTTCTGACCTTGGGGAGGAGTGATGAGGCCACCTTCAGGATACCGGCTCCCTGGCATGGAGTTGGGGCAAGTGGGGATCCAAGGGTTTTCTATCCTGAGTGCAGTGCGACCTAATCACCGTGACTAACCTCGCCACAGTCTAACTATAAGCCCAGCCTGCCTAGTGTGACACACAGTGCCTTGCAGTCGTCACCAAGGGGCAGGAGGTGGGAGGCGTGCTCAGGACAATAGCCTTCTTGAAAGCTCGATCTTCGCTCCCCAAAGGTGGCATGGCAGGAGAACTCCCAAGGACTCCCGCATCTCACCTGGCATGGCATGGATGAGGTCACCGCACAGGACGAAGAATCTGGGCCTGGGACTCAGCTTGTTGATGGCCTGGACAGCTTGTTTTGTCAGCTGGATCTCCTGGGTCCACTCATCGCCGCCTTTGTCACAGTCTCCAGTGGCCCAGGCCTTCATCAATCCAAACTGTGGGTCTGCACCTTGGATGAAGTAGAACGGGCCTTCCCAGACCTTTTCCTTGTCTTAAAGAAAGAAGGGAGGGGAGAGAGGGGAGTCAGCGTGACACATCGTGCCAAGGCAAGCATCCAGGGTACCGGGCCACAGAAGGCTTCAGACAGGCTCAGGTCTGTGAGTGTGACCGCCTTGGGGGAAACAGCTCTTTCTGGAAGACAGTGCTAGTAGGCAAACCTAGACCGAGTCCCTTCTGAGTGGTGTCTTGTGAGGGTGGAGGGCAGACACAGAAAGAGGTCCCTCGCCCAGGGGAAGGGCAGCACGTGAGGGTCTATTTACAAGTCAGGCAATGCTATGAGATGTGAGGGAGGATCGAGAAAGCCTGGCATCACCCATACCCTGGACCACCTTCTCACCTCCAGAGAACAAGTTTCTCTTTGTAAAAGTGGCCCACTTCAGGGGGCTGTACTATAGCAGGCCAAGGGGACTAGGATGCAGTGGTGTGAGGAGACATAATATTTTTCTTAAATTAAGTAGGTCATTTCAATAAGCTGCTGTTCAAACACACCATCTTCCTGTCATTGTCTGAGGGTTTCAATTTATACTAATTATGTCTGCGACCTGGTGACTCCCACAGGCTAGGGAGAGAAAAACCATGGGGCCGCTGTCACCATGCAGCCAAGCTACTGATTTAAAAGTGATGC